TGACTGGGGTAATGGGGATAGATTTGTTAGAGACAATAAGATTGGCACAGGGTAGAGCAGAGTTTAGGGCTGTTGTCACTATGAGTCACAGGTGACTCGATAACAACATACACATAACAACAACAGAGATAGTGGCCTTGTTTTAAGGCACTGTACTGCCAACTCAAATGTACAAGTCTCAAATCCATAAGGTGCTCTATTGGAAACAGACAGGCAATCTCCTCTTGGACAATTTACATCCTCTGAAAAACTGCTGGGTCAGTTTTAAGTTGGTGCTGAGGTGGCACACAATAACAACAACAGTGATGTTGAGGGTATTAACTGAGTGAATACAGGTAAAGAGGTGGAACAGTACTGTACATAGGAATGTACTCAACTAATGTTACTATCATTCCTTTTTTTTTTTTTAAATTTTTTTTTTGTGTGTACCGTCAAACCAAATCCGACTGGTACAGGAGGAGATTGCCCCTCCTTCTCCAGCAGGGCATCTGGTGGATTCAAACCGCGTGGCTCTGCGACTGCAGTGCAGCTTCTTGCCACTAGGCCACCAGAGCTCCCTTGTTACCATCATTCTTATCATTACTGTTCACATCATTGTGCAATTATGGAATGCTCCTTATGTGCCAACTGTAGACAAGTATGCACAGAATAAAGCACAGAATTATACTTCTGATCATAAAAAATTTTGAGGCAACAGAACAAAGTTACAGAGTTTAAAGTTTGAAATCTTTAAAATAATAAAAATTATTAAAAAAAGAATGTTGTTTCTTTCATATTCCTGAAATTTAAATTAGGAATAAACAAAACATGCTTTAAATGTTTTCTCTATTTTATGATGAGCTTTAAACACTATACAAAGATATCCAGCATCTACCTCTTGTCCTTTTTTTTTCTCTTTACCTCTTATTATTATACAATTTTACTCTTTTACCCTGTATATTGCCTGTCTCCCATGCTAGAAGCAAGCTTTATGAGGACAAGGATTTTTTCACCCACTTATATTAACTGCTATATTATTAGGAGGAAACCTCTGGTGGAATATTCTATAGGGAGTAACACCGGTAACCCAAAGGTTCAAGTCTTCTCTGGCATTCCAAATCTACCAGGCTATCCTCCATGGTAGCAAGATGTGCATCTTTCTATCCTCTGTGGTAGAAAGGTAGACAATCAATCTCGTTCTGTGCCACTTCTGTGCCTCTGAAAACCCACTGGAGGGTCAGCTACGAATCAATCACTACATGATGGCAAAGAGATGAGCTATATTATCAAAACCTGTTTTGATAATATCAAGTATTGAGACAGGAGATTTTCATTAAACAAATAAGTAAATAAAATGACTTAGAAAAATTAACACCAAACATCTTGGATTTACCAAGGACAGCACTAACACTTTATGATTAGGAATAATTTATTGGCTTATCAGAAATAAGCTGTTGTCAGTGGACTTGAAGTTGACATAAACTCATGATGGCTTTCTATATAACAGAGAGAAAAGATGTCTGATTTTGCACCATATTTATGATTGCTGGTAGATCTGAGTCCACTATTGCAACTACTCTGGCTATTCATTTCATTGAGGGTTTCCTTTGATTTCTCTGACCGTCCATCAAGAGAGGATTAAAAAAAAAAAAGATAAAAGAGTTTATCCTAGGCCATGGAAAACTTAACTATACAATAAAATCTTACCTTTGCTGGATGTATATAATAATGCTGATTGAAAAGAAACCAACTGAGTGTCAGTAAGACTCTCTTCTACTGACATCTGTACAGCATAACCAGCATCTGGGTTTACATTGGGCAAAGACAGTAAGTCTGTTGACCGAACAAAGAAGTTTCCATGGAAAGTGTGAATGGAAAGACCTAAAAGAGAAAAAGTTATTATAATTATATATACCTACATATAGATACTTATATTTAATCCCTGTCATTTTTTTTCCAGAATGCAGAAAGTGAAAAGTTTATATACACAATATTTTTGTGAGGGTAGGTAAGGTGCAAGACATTTTCTTCACTGACCATTGGGATATAAATCTTCAAAACACCTATAAGAAGCATAGTTGGGCAGATCTATGAAAATGTTAAATGGGTGTTTACTTAGGCCCCACCAATTCCACTCTCTGCAGCATTCAATATGGATTGCATGTCAACATCAAGACACTGCAGCCTTAAATATGAACTGAAGGAACAAAGATTCTCACCACTGGGCCAACTGGCAGCATCATGGTAGATGGTGAAGGGACTGAGATTGTTAACAGTTTTAGTTTGTCTGGCTCCACAACATTCTTGGTACCAGCAGCCAGGAAATTAAATGAAGAACTGCATTGAGAAAATGTGCTGTCAGGGACTTCTCTAAAGTACTGAAGATCAACAATATCAATCTGGAGACTAAGGTATGCCTGATACAGGCCACAGTCTTTGCAATTACTATGTGTCAGAAAGCTGGACAATGACTAGGGATGATGGAAGGAAAACGGATGTGCTTGAGCCATGGTGCTGGAAAATAGCACTGACTATACCATGGACTGCTAGGAGAACAAACAGGTTTGTCTTAGAGAGGGTGAAATCAGGCTGCTCCTTGGAGGCAAGGATTCTGAAGCTTCATCTGACATACTTTGGGTATGTTGCAAGGAGGGACCAGTCCTTGGAGAGGGACATCATGTTTGCGAGGGTGCAGAGATAATGCATGAGAGGAAGACCCTGGATGAGATAGACTGATTCAGTAATGTCAGATAAATAAATTTGGCAAAGGATAGAGGAGGTTTCAGGGCTGTTGTACATAGGGTTATTAGGAGCTGCAAGCTACTTGATAGCACTAGCAACAATAACATCAAGAAAACAAAAAATCCTCACCACTGGACCCACAGGCAACAACCTGATGAATGAAAGCCTTGAGAATGTTAACAACTTCATCTTACTTGGATCCACAATCAATACACTGGCACCAGCAGTCAGGAGATAAGGAGATGTACTGTACTGGGAAAGTCTGCAGTCAAGGGATTTCTCCAAATTATTGAGGAATAAAAAATGTCAGTATGAGGAGAAAGGTCTTTTCAGTCACTTGCTATGCAACTGAGAGCTGAATAACTACTATGGATGACAGAAGAATTGATCTGAACTGTGGGACTGGAAAAGAATTTTGATGATCCCAAAGATTACCAAAAGAACAAACAGGTATGTCTTAGAGAAAGTACAGTCAGAGTACTCCTTGGAGGTAAAAATGATGATGAACCTCTGTCTCTCAAACTTTGGGCACGTTGCTAGGAGAGGTTATTCCTTGAAGAGGGACATCATGCTTGGAAAAAGTGGAGGGATGGCAAAGAGAGGAAGACCCTCATCCATCCTTGCCTCTATGGGGCACTTCCACTAAGACAGATTTGTTTGTTCTTTTGGCAGTCCACAGATGGATACTCAATAATCTCCACCAACACCACAATTCAAAGTGTATCTTCACTGTATCTTCACTGCTCTTCCTTATTCATTGTCCAACTTTCAGATGCATAGAAAGCAACTAACCTGACAGCAGATTTCCCCAATGTAGCATGTCTTTTGATTTCTTGACTGCTCTGGGTGTTGCTTGTGAATTCAAATAAAATATAATAGTTGACAACTTCAATTTTTCTCTATCACGATATTGTCTTATGGTCTTGGGTGAGGATTTTTATTTTCTTGATGTTGAGATGTAACTCACATTGAAGACTGTAGTCTGTTATGTTTTTCAGTATGAGCCTCAAGTCTTCTTCAGTTTCTACAGGCAAGATTCTGTCATTTGCGTAACACAATTTTTAGTACAGTGATTCTGTACATTCCCTCAAGGTTCTTTTGATGCTTCCTTGCTCATTCAATATTATACCTACAGAATCCATTAGTATTGAAATTTGAAGCTTGAATGTGTTCTTAAGTTCTTTCAGCTTGAGAATCTTTTGGTTACCTAATTCATACTTTGCTTTGTTTACATGAGCTGACCTTAGAAATGTTCTGTTCACTCTTTCACTTCAGCATTCCTTTTCCCTGTCTGGATTTCTTTGTATACTAGTACAAGTTTAGAGTCGCCTTCTGACATCCACTTTGGTCTTTTTTCTCTTCCTTGTCTTTGTAATGACCTTTTGCTTTTTTCATGTATCATGTCCCTGATACCATTCCACAACTCATCTAGTCAATTCTTGAGATGATTTTTAAACTGAGTTAAGATAGATTCAAGGTCATATTTTGGTTCTTACAGACTTGTTTTCATTTTCCTTGTCTTTAATTTTAATTTGTATAGGAGCCATTAATGGTCTGTTCCACAGTCAGCCCTGGTCTGGTTTTGATACTGACAATTAACTTTTCTAATGTCTCTTCCCAAAGATGTAGTCAATCTGATGCCTGTGTGATCCATCAGATAAGGTCCATATGTGTAACTTTGTTTATGTTCAGGTTTTTTAAAAGTAACTGCAATGAATAATTATATAAAATTCTATTGTGCTATCTCCAGCCTCATTTCTGTCACCAAGGTCATATTTTCTAACTACTAGTCCTTCTTATTTGTTTTTAATTTTTGCATTCCATTAACCAATCCCAAAACACTTGATTGTGCTTATGTGACACATAAACTTGGACCAGGAGGCAGTGAGCAGAGCAAGGAAACATGGCATGGTTCAAAATTGGGAAGAGTATGCGTCAAGGATGTGTCCTATCTCCATATCTTTTCAATCTATATGCAGAACAGATTATCCAGGAGGCTGGGCTCTGAGAAGTATGGCATCAGGACTGGAGGTAGACTCATCAACAATCTGTGGTATGCAGATGACACAACCCTGCTTGCTAAAACTGAGGAGGACCTGAAGTACTTGCTGCAGAAAGTCAAGGACCACAGACTTCAAAATGGATTGATGCTCAACATCAAAGAAAAAAAGATTCTCTCCACTGGGCTGATTGGCAGCATCATGATAGATGGTGAAGAGACTGAGATTGTTGACAGCTTCAGTTTGCTTGACTCTACAACTGACACTCTTGGTACCAGAAGGCAGGAAATTAAAAGATGAATTGCATTGGGACAATCTGCTGTCAGAGACCTCTTCAAGGTACTGAGAAGCAACAACAATGTCAGTCTGGAGACTAAGGTGCGCCTGATACAGGCCATGGTCTT